GCGGCCGGGGCCCGGCTGAGAGTCAGAGTCGCGCGGGAGAGCCGCGCACGCCGTGGGGTCGGCGACCCGTGGAAGAACGTGCCAACTTCTCAAGCGAGTTACCGACGCCTTTTTCCAGAGTTGGACGTTTTCAGACGGCGGTCAGGCGCTGGGCTCGGCACACCGGATCGGCAGCTGTCGGTCACGTGACTCCTCCGTCAGAGTGGGGACAGAGACGGCGGCGGACTCGACGGCGGGCACACGTGCCGCGGGAGTCAGCGTGCCCGCCGCCGGACTCAGCATCGCGCTAGCCTCGCCTCGCTCCGCCGCAGCACGCCGAGTCAGCGCCAGCCGCCTGCCACGCCCGCCGCCGGGCTGCCGATCGTAAAGGGCCGCGACGGCGTGGTCTGATCCGTGATGACGACGGGCCACGCTGATGACGCGGACGGCATTCGCCCGCCGCCGCCTGACAGTCAGGCGGGCAGGGCGTGCGGCACGCTCTACAGAGGCCTCTCGCTGAGGGATTCTGTTGCGCGCAGCTGGATTTCGGCCACTGAGCGGAGGCACAGTGTTTGATCCTTCTCGCGTGTGTCAAGAGAGGGGCAGCGTGATCCGGCATGGTCGCTGTTGGCAATGGAAACCAGGAAACGCTCCTTTGGCTCGATGGTTTCAGCAGCCACGCCGCACTCCCAGCACGTACAAGTTTTCTTTCAATTAGAATAGATCCACACAAACAAACAACCCGCACTAGCTCATACCAACATGCGTTCTGTAAAAAGCCGATTTACCATACTGGCGCGGTAGCAGAACTCCGACGTCTCGAGACGACAAAAACACTTCGCGTCGGCGTGCGCCCGGCACGGCGGCAGCTGTCGGGTCGACCGCCGCCGCGCCAGCCTCTCCGTCAGCCTCTGTTTGGCGCATCGATCGGGCGCCGCTCTCGTGTCCAAATAGCCATCAGGTCGTATCATAAATTTAATCTAGCACGGCCTAGTCATTTATATCGTGCTCTCGTCCACCACGACGTTGGATGACCGCGCGGGCGGCCCCGGCGAGTCCGCGCGTCTGGAGCGACGCTCGGCGGGCGGCAGCGCCGGTCGCCGTCTCGTCCCACCGCGCAGACGACGCCGGCACACTTTTGAAGAATACAAAACTCATCAGGCGCACGGCAGCCGCCAGCGGCAGATATTAAAACACGGAGATAGTACGCTCTGCACGACAGAGACGCGCAGCAAGTTTCCATGGACGGCTCCGCCAGAAGCTGATTCAGTCTATTGAAAGGTGGCCGGCCCGCTTCGGGCCGGCTCGAACCAACTGTCACAATCCCCAGCCGTCTGCAAATCTTACTTAACTCTATGGGAGAAGTTTGCACGCCCGCATTGACTTAGGGTGACACGCCACAGCGGCACGCGCCTGTTGGCACCAATGCTTGCATCACGCCACTGTTGGCACCCGTGTTTGCACCATGTCCGCGCCCGAGAGGAGCTCGACAGTAATGACTGTGTCGGAGCGCGCATGCTCGTGCAAAAAGGGTTGGGTGCCGGGGGCATGCGTACGCTGCACATGGGATGGTTGTATGCAAATACGGCAGTAGTGACCAACATAACTGGAGGAAAATAAAGCTTCATTTGCATAACTGAAATCGATACTTTAAATTAGAGAGCACCACAACAAAGAGTCTGCAGTTTCCTTGCTTCACGCAAAGAATGTAAGCACCCCGTGGGATTCAGCGCAGCCAGGAGCTGTCCGGGGAACCCTCAGCCAGGGTTCAGTGCAGCCAGGAGCTGTCCACGGAACCCTCAGCAACACGATCCACATCCAGTGCGCGCACCGGCTGCGCTCCAGAGGAGTGGGCCAGAGCAATCTCTCCCGAGGCTTCCCACTGTTTACTGCAGATGCACCCCTTCCCCCTCCACCTACCCCCACATTTAATTATCGGGAGCCGGCTGTGTATCCAACAGCCTGAGAAATGCTGCCGCTGCGGCGCTTATGACGATGGAAACTGAAATCATCCTACCGGCGGCCGAGGAATTTCGCACTCCCACGGCGGGGCTTTTCATTTCAATTCGGTCCTTTGAGCGCCGTGCGGGATGAGAGTTTGACGGTGAGGGAGCTCAACGGGCGACGGCGGCCCGCTGATATCATCTAGACGACGGCGATCACTCGCCGGGAAAATATCCGTCCATTCCAGGTGCCACTGTCGCTGATACGGGGCGCCGCGCCGCCTGATGGCCGCCGCCCGTTTGGCGGTCCAGATCGGGCTCGGTGCGACGGCCGGGGGACTGGTGCAGAGCGCTGGAAGATGGGTGCAGAGGGTCGAAGCGCTGGTGCTGTAGATCGGGCGCGGAAGTCAGGAAGGTGGCGCAGATGGTGTCAAGACTGGTGCCGAGCGTGAGACTGGTGCAAAGCCCTAGAAGACTGATGTAGATGGAACCACCATGGAAGACAACTATATGTCATGCAGACGCTCCACGGGTGGTCAAAGGACTGGTGCAGAAGGCGAAAGGACTGGTGCAGGGGCACTGGGCACTGGCGCAGTATATCATGAGGTCGATCCGGGGAACGGCAGAGGGCGGGAGACTGGGAGGCGGTCACAGACTACTGCAGAGGACCGGATGTATTTCTAGCCGGGGTAACTAACCAGGGGAAGTACGGTGATTGCTGTAGTTTTATAGTTTTATCCCTCCCCAGACAGTCCGCTCATCCAGCGCTCGCTGTCGGTGGCTGTAACCTCAGAAATAAACCAAGCACGGCCCACACGACGGTCTCTGGAGCTGGAGACAATCTCTATAGTCCGACATCCCATCACGCCAGGTAGCTGGGCCTGTCAGCTTAATTAGCAAAGTTGGGACAAGGAAAGCGGTTATATTATACCAAACTTTGCTCATATCATGTGGGCCGGCATGCTGGCCCGGCTCTGGCCAGGAGCGGACCCGTCGCTCGGGAGCATCAGCCGTGGCTGGCGCTTGGAGCAGTGAGGCGGGATCCGGGGCCCAGGCCGGGCCGGCGTCTCGGCTAATGCTCCGTGACTGGCGGCGGCGCCGGTAAGAGGTGCAGCGGTCCCAGGGGCGCGCCGCACGGTCCTGTCAGAGCCCGGATTAAAAAGTCGCCGGCCGCCGATAGCCGGGCTCGCCATTCAATTTGGCGGCCGTCGCCAGAACGAGGCGGCCGCGGCCGCCCCGTCCGCCCCATAAGCCCGGCAAATGTGCATGCTACTGTCCGATCGCGCTGGCAAACGCGGCCGTAACACGCCCAAATTAGAGGCGATACGTCGAGCGGCCCGGCTGGGCGGCGAAATCTGACGCGGACCGAGCCGACCGCCGCCGGTCGGCTCCGGAGGCGGCGTGATACATCAGCTGACCGGAGCACCGCGCGTCACGGGCCGGCCGCCGGCAGATGACCACCATCCGGTTCCGCACGAGACCCCGGCCAGTGCGGCGGAGTTTCCGATGAGACTTGTCTAACGTGAGACCCAGTCAGATGTGATAGCGAACGGTCCACCGGAAAGGCAGCTGGGGAACAGGAGCACATCCGGTCTGCTGGATGTCTTGTAGCGCCTTGTTTAACAAAACAAAGTGCATAACAGAGCCCTTTCCGGACTACTCAGACAGCTGACAACGTGCATCTGACCAGTGGTGCATTAAATGGCTGCCTATGACCAAACACACCACCCGATCTCTCCGGCCTCGGCTCTCTCCGTAGCTGGTCCCCGACCGGTTCATAGCCGAAATATTGACATCTAATTGTTTGGACCAGATAACGATTCGTGAATGCAAACCGATTTCAAAAGTTTTTTAGCTGCCAGGTGATGCTGAAACCTTTAGATCGCATGACTTAACAAGCGAAAATATGAAATGCAAAGTGGATGCATTGGGTGTTTGCTGATAACGCTTTCTCTATATCTTTCCTTTTTCTGTATGGTCACGTAGCTTTTGCGAAAATGTTCCCCTTTGCATGAAGACTTGGAATAGTTTGTGAAGAATCTAAGGATGAAGCAGACGTGTTGTCCCAGTCGGTGCGCTGGGTCGGTATTGTGCCGAGTCTGGGAGAGTATGTACGCTCAGTCAGAGCTCGTGTTTCCCCAGATCTGGTTTGTCAGGTCAGCGATTTTTCCGAGCGTGGTAAGTCCGGTGTGTCCGTGGCTTCCCAGTCCTGGTATGTCGGGTCGGTGGTTTTTTCGGGTCTGGGAGGTCAGGTCAGTGAGTACCCTAGTCCCACCTGGTCGAGCTGGTGGTTTCCAGGTTCGGTAAGTGAGGTGGATGGTCTATTGAGATTCCTTAGTCAATCCGAAGTTTCCCCTTCCCCAGGTCAGGTCAGCTGGGTCCGTGGTTTACCCACGCCTGGCCGCTTTTGTTGGTGATTCCCAGGATCCGCCCAGCACGATCATGACGGCTGAATCATCTCAGCATTCCTGCCGTTCAACTTCCTACCCGTCCACCACGGCTGCAGCAGGAGCACTCAGTAAACGCACCTCCGAATCCTCATCACCATCGCCCCCCGGACCGGTGGGCCACGCAGCAGGGAGCTGTGGCCGATGGGCGGTCCGCCGCCCTCACCAGCTGCCGATAACAGACCAGCGGTCGCGGCCCTGCCAACTGGCCGGACGGGGCCGGGCTGCAGCCCCCTCCCCCTGCGCCACCGCCGCGATGACGACATTACTGGGCCACCGTCACTCTGTCGTCGCCGACGCTGATGGACGTTTCCAGCTATGGTAATGAATGTGAACGCAATACGTCCCATGGTGGGCAGTAATGAAAGGAAAGTGGTGTTTGCTGCAATTCAACTGCAGTTTCGTCGCGGCGTTAGCTCGGAGAGCGCCGGCACGAGGAAACTTGAGCAGCAGCACAAGGGCTTCTGTACCTGTCATTGGAGCGCAACATCCACAAAAAGGCGGCCGTCCCCGCGGGAGCGCGGGAGTGAGAGGCCGGATCGGTTTTCAGCGTCTGGGGATGATCCGCGACAGAGGGCTGGACCGGGACAATGGCTCATCGCGGCGGCGGAGACGGCTCAGCCCGACTCACCTCCTCTCGAAAGCGCTTCACAATCTCCCCCTTCTTGCCGATGATGCTGCCAACCTCCTGAAACAAATGGAAAGCACGTCAGCGCCGACGTCCTCCAAGGCTGGCCAACAATGGCCGGCCCCGCACTGTTCCGCGAGGACTTCATCAGCGGACAAACAATACCCTCATCTCCTCTAACTACCGACCCCTTCAGTTGGGGTAAAATATTCCGGCGGTATATATCAACCAGCCGGACGTTGACGAGGGCGGCGAAGGGTTGGAAATTGTCCTGAGGCGTGTTTGTCTGCGCTTTACGGCCAGGTAAGTGACTCTTCTGCACTCTCCAAACGACCGCCGGCGCTGGGGAAAACAACCCACTCGGATACCCGGGAACGAGCAAACGTACTGGTGTGCGTGCTGGCCCACAAACCGGACGACTGCCGACGAGCGGTCCCCAAACAGACTGGCGAGAATACTGACTGGCCTTAAGGACTGCCAGGAAGTGGCCACCCTACAAGTTTGAACCAGCAGACAAAAAAAAAAACAGCTCGATCAGTGAGACCAGTCCAGTCTAAGACCGGTCCTACAAAGGACAGCGCGCCGCGCAACCACTTGATTGGCTCGTGATGACCATCGATGGTGTTGGGACACCTGACGAAGCGATGCATTTGTCTATCGCTGGTGATACGTTCGGACTTCACCCAAGTGCGTCCGATACTCTTGCCACTTCCATTCGCAGTCAATTTAGGAGCGAATTTGCTTAGTTTATTATCCAAAGTACAATAAGAAAGACGAAATAGAATCATCACAGTTGGCAGAATACGAGATGTAACAAGACGCCCAAGAACGAATAATCAGCCCAGCAAATTACTGATTAGAATGAGGATATTAGAGCAAAAGCTTCATACGCTAGTCTCAAAATTTCCATGCACGCTTAACATTCACGCGAGGGGTCAGTGCAGCCGCACAAAAAATAACTTAACCAAAAACTCCTGCTCCTCTGACTCTCCGCGCGTCCCAAACGCGCCCGGCTGGTGGCGATTTATGACGGCTCGCGCATGGCGCGCGTCGCAGGGGCGGTGTCGGCCGCCAACGGACGGCAGCTGTTGACGGGCGGCACGGCGTCCCAGCGTCACCGGACACCGTCCCGGACGGGAGGCCCGCACCAGAGACAACACCGGCGCGGCCAGAGCGCCGCAGGCGGCGCGGCGCCCGAGCCCGGCAGCGGCCGCCCGGCGGGCTTCGCCTTCTACCTTCTAGCTTCTTCGGGCACGGCCCGGTCCCGCCTGGACTGTGGCTACACCCCGGACTGGTCCGGGAAGCTGCACAGGACTGTGGCTACACCCCGGACTGGTCCGGGAAGCTGCACAGGACTGTGGCTACACCCCGGACTGGTCCGGGAAGCTGCACAGGACTGTGGTCACACCCCGGACTGGTCCGGGAAGCTGCACAGGACTGTGGTCACACCCCGGACTGGTCCGGGAAGCTGCACGGCTATCCCTGACTGGCCCAGGCGGTGACGTGGTCCTGGCAGTCATGCGGCTGCCGCTGCCTGGTACGGTCCGTGTCGCGGCTGACCCCGAGTGGCCCCGTGTGGCCGCGACGCGGACCCCGCTGCAAGTGGCAAGTTCCTGTCGCGGCAGTCACGTCGTCGCCCATGCTGTGTACGCGGAATTTTCACACATCGCGCCAACTATCCACCGGTTTGCATGGCATCGAGTGTGCTGGGTGATAAAAATGACCCTGGGGCCACAAGCGGCTGGCGCGTGCGACCATTTGGTGATATTTCCCGACCGGCGGAAACTACTTGTGCGTCTGAAGCACCGAAAATGTGTGCAGAGCCAGACGTACTGAGATGTGAGAACATCCAGGAGATTCAAAAGCCGTGTCGTGCGGGCACCGTACTATGTCGTGCCATGACGGTATTTCTCAGGGGCTCGACCTGGACGCCGTCCCCAGCTTCCAGCTCCAAAACAGACACTGTTAATCAAATTGTCCAGCTTTCCAAGATGGTGTCTGGACGCCAGCCAGTGAATTCCACCACAAACTACCCGGAGATCAAGAGAAGTGCCCAGCAGTGCGGACGCGAGCCACCCCTTTGGTGTCCCGCCGAACCTCCGAATGTCTCTGGTTGGGAGGGCGGGCCAGTGACGTCAGCCGGTGACAAGCGCCGCCAGCGGCGTGCAGCGCCGGGGCACCGAGCCTTATCAACAGTCCGAGCTGCGATGGGACCGTCACGCCCACCATTTCCAGAAATGCACGGAAGTTTCGCCGAGAAACTTGGCCGGTATCGGTCGATCTGCGACCGAGGACGGCCGCCCGACTCTGCAGGACACACGGGCTCATATTCAGCCTGACGGTCGGCGGCCACCCGGCAACTGGTGGAGCTATTGGTGAGCGAGCGGGCGGCCCTGCGCCGGCCCGGCGGGCCATTACGGGCGTCCGCCGGCACCATTCGTCCGGCGGCGCGTCCCGATCTCTCACCACGACGGCCAACATTCCAAATTAACGACGGCAAAGATTGCCATCCCGAAGCCATCGCGCGCCACCGGGCACCGCCGAAATCGGTCGGCACAGAGTGAAAAATAACTGGGATGCTGCGGCCGGATGAGATGGGACGCCAGATCAAGTGCGCGGCGAAGGCGGGTTCGCCGGCGATGCGAAGTCGGTCGTCCGCTGGCCCGGTTCCGGGATTTCTGACGGCGTCATCACAAAGGAGGCAGCACAGTCGGCCTCGGCAGTGGCAGAATAGCTGATGCGATGAGGACAAAAACAGAAACGGAAATTGCTGGGAAACGGAGAAAAGCGCGCTTGTAGAGGAGCGAGGAATGGATGGAGAAAGACAGCGATGACTGAAATAAACATAGGCTTGCATCTTTATTGGGATATATAGATGAGCGTATTATATTTATTGCATTATACTTTCAAAATACGTCCGTTCAACAGTGTAGCTATTACCTCAGTCGAGATGAGTGATGTGAGCAAGGCAAGGCAATTTAACACTGGGCTGTTAATATCGGCGACTAGCGAGCCCTGGTGAGAGGAAAGGAGAAAGTACGCTGCCCACGCGCGCCAGTATGAACAGCTCACTCCACTAGCAGCGGCCAGCACCGACATCGCACCGCAACTCTGGTCCCACAGACCTTGCCACCGCTACGCAATTCTCCCGTCGGATGCCACCGTCGCCAGTGCTCGTTGCCCGTCATGTGAGAGCGACCCCAACCCAGCCCGCGACCCACCAGCGGTCCGTCGCGGGTCTCTCCCTCGTCAACCAGACCAGACCGCCGCATGGCCGGCCCATGGCCTGGCAAAAACGGCCGCCGGGAGCATATCTCTCGACCCGCCAGGCCGGGTCTACTCGCGACCGGCCCCTGGTCTTCCAGGTCGGGCCCACTCGCGGTCGGACCCTGGTCTGCCAGGCCGGGTCTACTCGCGACCGGCCGCTGGTCTTCCAGGTCGGGCCCACTCGCGGTCGGACCCTGGTCTGCCAGGCCGGGCGTCCTCACGACGGACCCCTGATCCGCCAGGCCAGGCCTGCAGCGGGCCTGGCATGCCTGCGGCCGGCGGTGCTCCTGTGACAAGGGGCCGCGTCTACCCCGAAGGGCCGGGCGCCGGTGGCGGTGGCGGTGGCGGTGGCGGCGGCGGCGGCGTCGCTGGCACCGGGCTCGCATCGGCGAATAATGGGCGACGTTATTTCGGGCGCGGTGGTCGGGCGGCCATCGTTCTCGGCTGTCACCGGGCGCGGCCGGTATGAGGTGCGGCTGCCCCTGTCCTGGACGGCCGGCGCCACCCTCGCCTCGTCTCCGACGCGGCCCCCGCTACCTTCGATCCTATTATCCGTTAATCAATGGAGGGAGGCTGATGAAGCCCCACGCGGCAGATCTCACGGAGAAATCCGCTTTTCCGCCGCGTAAGCGGGCGCCGCCGCCAGCCGCCGCCGCCGCCGTCAGTGGTCACGGCTGGAGGACAAGCGGACAGGCGGACAGGCGGACAGACGGGCAGGCGGGTAGGGTGACAAGAGGAAAGGGGGACAGGCGGACAGGCGGATAGGCGGACAGACGCACTGGTGGATAAGCGGGCAGGGAAACAGGCCGATAGGACAGGCAGACAAACGAACAGACGGACAGGTGCATAGACGGGCGGGAAAGACGATGGGCAGATGGGACATAGAACATTGTGCGCCATAACCTGACACGGAGCACGGGGTTCCTCCATGTCCAGCGCCGTCGCGCCGCTGTCCAACGCCAGCAAGCGAGACATGCGCAGGGCAGCCGACCGCCGCACACCACTCCACCACGTGCTCTGCCCGGCAAAGAGTGAGAGAGAGAGAGAGAGAGGGGGGAGAGAGAGGGAGAGAGGGAGATGGAGGGGACTGATGGGTGAACACCAGACTGAGGTTAGGTGGTCAAAGCAGCGGATCGCCACGCAATCCGTAGTCAGATTATTGCGCGCCACATATGCAGAGAATGAATAGTTTCTGGTAGCAAAACACATGGAATCCATCAGGAGTAATACATGGAGGAGATCGGCAGCGGATGATAAACTATAGACTGCTGCACTACAAATCTTGGGCTCGTTTTCCGACAGAATTGCCCGCATATCTGGGAACTGGTGGGAATATCTGGTCGCGGAAGTTCTCCGAAAATAGTCCCGCATCCGACAGCAGCGGGGACGATCACCGGCCACCGCGCCACCAATCATTCTCAACAGATATGAAGCGCTCTCGCTCCGGATATTCAGCGTCATAATCGCTCATGCAGGCCGGAGAGCCGACCGACGGCAACAGTCGCCGCCGGGCGCAGATCAAAGGCGCATTTCGTCCGGGCGGGGCGACGCGGCCTTCGAGCCATGCCGTATTTGTGGCGGAGTGTCCGGGCGCGGCCGCAGTGCGCGGACGGGCGCCGCTCGTGTCCCGCTTTCGTCCGTCCATCGCCGGCCGATGTTCCCATCGAACTCGTCAGGCCTACAAAAACAAACAAGGCAAGCCGGGCCCGACCTGCCTCAACACCCAAATGAATCGGCCGCCGCAAATAAATCAGCCAGGCCGAATTGACAGAGCAGCGCGAGAGGCGGCCGCC